ATTTCAATATTTTATGAATATGTATTGAAGATGAATCATTTTGTGGAATAACTCATATTTTCTCTTCTTCCCTACCTTAGACGTTTCTGGCATTATGAGATCCCCCGGGGACCTTTATATTTTGAGATTTCTTCATTCTCCCATATGGAGGCATCTTTGCCCGGATCTTTGGGGGCCTTCACATTTTGAAGTTCTCACTCCCCCAATCGCCCAGATAGTCTGTCTCGAAAAAACCTTGAATTGTTCAAGCCCTGCATGGGAGGTGTAAATCCCGGAACTGGATTCATCTGGAAGATTTTTGTGCCAGAAGCTTTTGAAACGGTTTAAGCGGTTTGTTTCTTCCTATCGCCTTACTTAGCTCAATAAACCGGAAGTATTCATTGTCTTTCTAGTCGTGAATGGTTTATATAGAGCCGGATTGAACGATTAAGCCTTGCGCCGTCGTTGGTGACTTCCTGTTGATTGCTCTAAAGCAGCGCAGGTATTAGACAATTTATTATTGTTTTCTTTTTCAAAATCATTTCTCTCCCTCACTTTTTTTTCACTTCAAGGGTGGTACTTACCAATTTTTGAAGTCTATTCGGGTCTGTTTTACCGTTGTAAACCGAATGGTGCGCTTTTTTATTGCGTTGCTGTGATAGGGCACCCGATCAGACATCGGGAGATTGAGTACTATTGCCCTAGATACCAGCAGGAAAGAATTCTACCGAAATCGTCTATAATATGAACATTAAAGACATGTATACCATAAATAGCCTTTTATATTATAGCTTGTTCCATTGCATTGTATGGCTTGTAAAAAGCGTGGATTAAAAATCAGACTTTCAAATTATGCTTTACTCAATTGGCATTCATGGCATGGCGTCTAATTTTACAATTTTTGCATTGGGCAGAATGCAAAATTATTTGAATTAGTATGTCGTGACCTTACACCGTATTTTCCTGATGCAAACAGCGCACATAATGCCACAAATGCCATGCAGTCCGATATGCAAACAATACCGTCACCCTCATCTGCGTCCTAGTGTTCGCTGAGTGTCATTGCTAAATGATTTCTGAAAAAGTGACATCAGAAGTGCAACTTTTGTCTACACATTTCATAAATCAAAAAATAAGGGTACTGTCGACAGCAAAATTCGAAATTCGTTGCAAAATTTTGGAAGTGCAAATTTAGCTTAGAGGCAGCAATACCCATAATTTCAGTAGTGGCCTTCGGCCCTGATTACACTTTGATGATATGAAGTGCAAATTGTGCAAAACCATAAAAAACGCAATTTCTAGGAGCCCAATCTGGAAGAAACACACTACTTTCAGTACCTAGGTGGGCGGAGCTTGTCAGGGTGGGCGTGGCGTGATGGCACTTCCGCGAATTCCATGTCCATTTTCTCCATTCAGAGGCCACAT